GGGGTGGAAACGGGGTGGGAGTATACTTCTATCGCAAAAACTAAACCCAGTGATAAAGAAAGACAGCAAGACGACTAGGACTTGGGCGATTGCACCCTGCTCATAATTTCGAGAATCAATACTTATAAAGTGAGATCCCAGAAACCAATCTTCGGCACTTGCGTTGCGTTATTGCGTTAGAAGTGCTGTAAAACGTACAACAACTAAAAAAAAAACCCTACAGTTTGCGTTGAGTGCATGCCCTTCCTCCCTTTTTCTCCTAACAATAAACGAAAATAAAACGGAACAAAAATCACTAAGTCTAAAATGTTGTAATGTTGCTGATATTTCTGTTTAACGGTTTCTGTATTTTTAGTTAATTTGGTTCTATAAATTCTTTCAGGGGGGGATGGGAGTGGAAATCGGTATACCTTTATCACCATGAGATACTAAAAGTAGGGATTTAAAAAACTCGTCATTTGGCGAGAGATGGTATGAGAATAAAAGGGGAAAGGAAAAATCTATAAAGGATAGAACAACTTTCACTATTACTTACATACCCTTGCTCAAGAATTCCAGAATATGTATTTTAACAAAAGTAAAGTTGTTCCTGCTTCCGATCCGGACATTGGGGATTGCCTTGTTAGTGAGACAACTTCCTGGGCCTTCGGCATATTGTGGTTCGGTGGCCAGTTCCTTTCCACCCCGCCTTTACTTCCCTAACTCGAAGGCAGGTAACCATTACTGCTGGGTGGGCAGAAAGGGGCGAAAAAAATTCCGTGTCCTAACCGAGGTTCGAACCCGGACTTACCACTCCACCACTGCACCTTCAGAATATGTGAGGCAATGTGGTGGAATCAGGCTCTCGTCAATATTTGGGCATGTAGAGGTATTGGTATCATCTTAAAGCTTGTTCACTTGTCCTTACTTGGATGAAAAAAGTATCCATTTATTTTAAATACAAGTCGAGATATTTGCAAATGAACGAGGTGGGGGTCACCTGTTTTCAGAGGTGAAATAAGTGAGAAAATGGCCGCCAAAGATTAGTTATTTCCTTAGTGTAAGAGTCCGAGGTAACTGAAAATTTACATTTTTTGGTGTCCTTAATCAACGTTTTTCAGAAAAATCCACACAAAAATGAATTCTTAAATGGGCATGAAAGGTGTTGAGCCAAAAAACAAAAAAATTGATAAAAATTCACAAACCTGCGGAAAAATGCAAGTTTCTTCAGTTTGATAATTTTGACGAGAGCCTGATTCCACCACGCTGCCTCACATATGTTTTATCATGTATAAAATAAAAACACTAGAACCAGTGCTCAGTGGATGCATAATGCCCCCCTCCCTTTCTCCATACAAAACTGAAAATAAAAGTGAACGAAAATCCCTGAGAAAGATTCCTTTAGAATGATGACACATCTATTCTTTTAATCTTTTCCACACGTCTAGTCTACGTGATTCCACATTTCAGAACCACCGCAATGTGCACCAAGCTTCCATTATACATACATATTATGGTCGCCTTTAAGGGCGAGCGGGGTCTCCCGAAAAATTCTGCTTTGAGAAAATCGAAGGTAAAGTTTTTGCCCCTTGTTCAGTTTCATTAAAATAAAAGACTAGGATATTTTTCTGTATAACCAAACACATACCCTAATGAAACCAAACTTCTCCTATAAGTAAGGCAATTCCCATTTTTTTGTGTAGGTCAAGATTTCTGGAAACCCCCGAAATCTGGGTTTGCTCGCTTGTCCTTAAAAGTGACCATATCGCCTCTTTGGTTCCAGATTAAACGTCCATCAGTGAGTGGTTGGCAGGTGCTCTGGTATACTTCGCTCCTTTTTTCCGATCAAACATATATTGTCCTTATCCCTCCTGCTTCGTAATTATCTGTATGTTACCATTTGGAAAACATCTAAATTTCGGCACTAATATGACTTGTTAGCTATGCAGTTGTATTGAAAGTTAACTAACTATCAGGTCATATGGCCATCACTATGCGAACAAAGCCATTTTTTCATTTATTCATAATATCGTCTCTTTCGTTCCAGAGTTAACTTCCACCACAATGTGACCACATCGTTAGCAGAGATCACCATCATCTATTAGCATGTGCGGAAAATCGATCCTCCTCATAATGCCGCCACAAGACAGAAACTAACTGGGTGTTCGTGTGAAGACCAAACCTTCTGTGACCTGCAAGTCTTCGTGCTGCTCCTATCTTCGTGCTGCATTCCCAACAAAAAGCAGCAAGCAGCCTCGATAGACGCAGCTTTTGTCTTGACCATCAATAATTTATTTATAGAGGCACCAACAATCCATGTCCAGGTGCTGTTTTAGCCACAGCTTTTTTGTCTCTATAATATTGTGATACAATATCAGCACTGACGAGGACTTCTGAGAGTGTTTTCCCCAAAGTGACGTTGGACTAACTTCTACTCTAAATCTACCATGGCGTTGACACTCCACCTTAGGTACGCGGAGAACCTGAAGGGCCGGGCGGAGAGACTGGCCAAGGTGTCATTTCGAGGTGAGAGACAAAGAGGTTTTTTCTCTGTTTTGTTTTTTTCTGTTTTGTTTTATACGTGTGTTCTACAGGAAACGTGTTGTGGCAAAAATGGGTGAAACTAGATACACTCGTTTTAAAAAACCCACATAAAACAAACAAACAATTTGAATTTCATACATCAACCAAATGGTTATTTGGACGACGAATCTTGTTCTGAGATGTGTGTGTAAGAGAGAGAGGGAGAGAAAGAGAGAGAAAAAGAGAGAGAGAGAGAGAGAGAGAGAGAGAGAGAGATAGGGGAGAGAGAGAGAGAGAGGGAGAGAACGAGAGGGAGAAAGAGAGAGAGAGAAAGAGAGAGACAGGGAGAGATGGGGGAGGGGGAGAGAGAGAGAGAGAGAGAGAGAGAGAGAGAGAGAGAGAGAGAGAGAGAGAGAGAGAGAGAGAGAGGGGGGGGAGAGATATATTGGGGAGGGGGAGAGGGTTGGAGGGGTACGCAAATAGAGGTGGGATGGAAAGGAGGGTTTAAATTGTGTGTACTTGTGTGATTGGAAAGACAGACGGAAATTTGGTCATGTATAGATGAATATTATTGACGCTTGAAGTTTGTGTGTGTGTTTGTCTGTTCGTCACTTCCAGAGTTTTTAAGGTTTCGTTTGAGTAGTTGTCAGTCTTCTCCTGTGTAGGTGACAAGACCCCTGAGCCTCAGGCAGGTTAATCAAAGCTCTCGGGCATACAAAGACGTACCTTTTGAAGACCTGTCTATAATTACATCCGTTGTTCTCCGCCTGAAAATTGACTTGTCTACTTTGATCAGTAATCTGAAGCCGGGCATTCACCTTTGTTGACCCCATAAAAGCATATTAATTAACCCTATCCGTACGCCCTGGGGTCTTTTGTATCCCCAGGGTTGTATTCATCACATTTTAGAATACTTCTAGTGCGAAGATCTCTTTGGGATTTCAGTATTTCTCAAAAAATCATTTTGACAGACTGCTATCCAAAGTGTACGGATCGGATTAACGAGTAAATTTCCTCTTTGGAAAGAGGTGGCACAGAGTTTCCCACGTCGTATGGATACGATAGTAAAACACGATGTACGGATATGGTTAATATGCATGTACGGATAGGGTTAAGTGGTGGCACAGAGTTCCCCACGTCGTATGAATACGAGAGTAAAACACGACGTACGGAGAGGGTTATTCCTGTGTGTGTGTGTGTGTGTGTGTGTGTGTGTGTGTGTGTGTGTGTGTGTGTGTGAGTGTGAGTGTGTATGTGTGAGTGTGAGTGTGTAGGCGCGTGTGTCTTAGCCCTTCCAGAAGATAGGCTGTTATGCGTTCGTTGTCTTCGCCACCAAGTCAGCGATCGGAAACGTTTACCCCAGGGGCAGTGCCACTGACTGGGGTGTCTTTAGGTCATTCCCAAAAGGGGGAGGGGGGGGACATTAACATCTCGAGTTCTCATGCACAGTAGAATTGTAATTGTTAATGTTCCGATTTATCAATGTCTCTACTTCTTTTGCATGTTTGTCACACTCTTGAGACCCGTTTTTTCCCAGGGTGCCTTGATATTCAAAGCAAAATTTGTGTTGTTGGAGCTAGAGAGGTGAACAGAGTAAGTCTGATTCCCTGTAAGGACTTCTCTGTTGACATCCACCCTTGGCGTTCATATGACCTTATGCAGTTGCGAGCGCCGTAAAACCTCTACTAATACAAACAAAAGGAGACGTTTGCACAGTTCTCTGATAGTTATGACTGGCTTCATTTTCGGAACTCTTTCACATGCAGGTGTCAGCGTCCTGTGCCTGTGATCAATATGACTGGAGAGTTAGCTGGTTCTAGCACTGGAGCAGCTATTGTTATGCCAAGTCACAAAAGTGGCATTGTTACCTTGCGTCCATGGTCTATTGTAATGTACATTGTCTGCGATTCGCGATTCTGAAAATAATTATTATTCAAAACAGTTCATAAGCAAAACAATCAAAGAACAGTCTCTCTTTAAAATAATATTTGGAAAATCGCTTCCTTAGAATTACAGAGATCTACCTGACAGTTTTAGCCCTTCTGGTTGACTAGGAGCGTTAGGTCAGAAATCAAATTCATGTGCTCAATAATAATAATAAGATTATTCGGAGTCGTTATCAAGATATTCAAATAATTTCATTCGAAAAAGCATGACGTGTTGTGAAACTCAAAATGTGTGTGGCACACCCAGCCAAGTCGTAAACAGTACTTGGGCATATCAAGATTTTGATTTTGAATTCTTCTTCAGCCTAAGATGCCGCGTCCCCCCTCTATTGTTTTTCAGTTGCACGTTTAACCCTATCCGTACGTCCTGGGGTCATTTTGTACCCTCGGGTTGTATTCTTCACATTTTATAATACGTCTAGTACGAAGATCTCTTTGAAACATTCAGTATTTCTCAAAAAATAATTTTGATAAACTGCTATGCAAACCGTACGGATCGGATTAACGAGTAAATTTCCTCTTTGGAAAGTGGTGACACAGAGTTCCCCACGTCGTATGGATACGATAGTAAAACACGGCGTACAGATATGGTTAATATGCATTATGGATGTGGATAAAATAGTTCGTCTCTGATTTGCAATGTCTGTCTCCTTTCCGTGGTTGTTATTTCTTAATTCTATATAGGCAAAGTGCTTCGACTTCAAAATGTTTTACTTTTGCATAGTTGTATTATAAATCATATCTATAATAGCATTATTGCATAGTAGTAATATAAATCATATCTATAAGCTTTATGACCCTTTCAACATTGCGTGGGTGGTTTGGCAATAAGTGCTCTGGTGTGGTTTGCTACTTCTTTCCTATCAAACATCTGTCGTCTTTTTCTCCCCTCCTTCTATTTTTTGTGTTTGCTACTCGATAATCTTCAGCACTTATATCACCACGAAAACAAAATTTTCAACATCGTTATTCTTTTTAAGGGATGGGACCTCCTAACTCAATATCTGTGTCATCAATGACTAACAACTCCGTGACAACTCCAGACACAAAACAATTTAAAGAACACTCAGTTGTGGTTTCGAACTGCGTGAATAACACCCTTGCCCTGCTATATACCAATGGAGAATGACATCCATTTGTAGAGACAAAAATGGAAGAGACATCGAATACGCAAATGCAATGCAAATATTATGTAATGAGGTAGAACAGAAAAGGTCGATGGCATCAGGGAGAAGGGGAGCAAGTGTCGAGCCTTCTATAAAAAGAATATTATTACCTTCCCATTTTCCACCAAGAATGTTATTGCTGTTCTTTACCTTAGATAACACGCTAGACCAGACACTTAGATAAGAATACAGCCCCATGGGTAAATTCGTTTGTATTATGATCCTCGAGTTATTCGTGGCCCCTGTCATCCCTATATCCAACACGGGAACAGTTACTATCCTAATGAGCCTCTACTTAACCCTATCCTTACGTTGTGTTTTACTATCGTATCCATACAACGTGTGGAACTCTGTCCCACCACTTTCCAAAGAGGAAATTTGCTCGTTAATCCGATCCTTACGCTTTGCATAGTAGTCTGTCAAAACGGTTTTTTTGAGAAATGCTGAAAGTTTCAAAGAGATCTTCGCACTAGAAGTATTTTAAAATAGGAAGAATACAACCCTGGGGGTACAAAATGACCCGAGGTCGTAAGGGTAGGGTTAAATGTGTCAATTCCTCTCACGTGTTGTTTTCTTTTTCGTAATGACGTCAGTTCTAATTTTTGCCAAACATTTCGAGAATACAGTGTTTGAAATAACTTCCCTTTTGGAGGAACTTAAGCCGTATATTCTTATTTTGTCTCGATTTTCTTGTTTAGTGGTCGTTGCTCTCAGTGTCTGTGTCTGCCGCGTACAGAAGTTTCTTCTTTGCATGCAGAAGAGGTGAGTTCGATTCTCACGATAAATTGAGAAAGGGAGAGAGAGACACAGAGAGAGAGGCAGACAGAAAGAGAGTGAGAGAGAGGGGGAGAGATAAAAAGAGAAAGTGTCAGAGAGAATGGGAGAGATAGATAGATAGAGAGAGAGAGATAGATAGATAGAGAAAGAGTGAGAGTGAGAGAGAGAGAGAGAGAGAAGGAGAGAGAGAGAGAGAGAGAGAGAGTGAGTGAGAAAGGAAAGGGGGAGGGAGATGATTTAAATATAATACTATGTAATCCTGCGTCCCTGTAATTTCAGATAGGTTATAGTATCCCATGCAGCACTGGTTTTGTCAGCAACAGGCTGGGTCTGGAAAACCAAACCCCCCTAAATGATTTAACCCTATCCGTACGTCGAGTTTTACTATCATATCCATACGACGTGGGGAACTCTGCCACAACTTTCCAAAGAGGAAATTTACTCGTTAATCCGATCCGTATTCTTTGCATAGCAGTCTGTCAAAATGAGAAATACTGAAAATTTCAAAAAGATCTTCGTACTAGAAGTAGTCTAAAACGTGAAGAATACAACCCCGGGGGTACAAAATGACCCCAAGACGTACGGATAGGGTTAAGCTGTATCAACACCAATCGTATGGCCTGTTTGAGTCTTTCAATCTCTCTGAGTCTCTTTAATTTGGGACTTCTTTCTTTTGGTTTAGTTTTAGTAGAGGTTTTACGGCGCTTGCAACTGCAATAAGTCATATTATGAGCCTCAGAAGATTAGAGGTGTTACAAGAGAGTGACAAACATAAAAAATGGGGACAAAAGGGCGATAGATGTTTGATAGGAAAGAAGAAGCAAACCATCCATAGCACGCGCCAACCGCCCACTTGACTTCTTTATTTTGTTTTCTTTTTATTTTGGATATTTTTGTCTACATCTTAGATTGAGTTTAACCCCATCTCAGACTAGATTTAATCCACTCACCATTTCAATCCTTATTTAGTCACCAAACTGAAATTTTTATTTGGGCAACTCATATTTACTACTACGGTGTGGGTGGAAGACGATTAACTAGTTTTATTTCGTGGTTGTTGTTTTTTAAAGAGTAAACGTTATTTCGGTATGTCTGCCGTCTGTTTGCTTCTCTG